TTAAATATATATATTTAAAAAAAATTACAAAACTAAACAGCCTACAGTATTTTTACGGTTTTTGTTTTACAGTTAAAATAAATGTTTATCAAATAAAGTTTAATGTTACAACTAATCGTGGATCTCTTTAACAAAATTGACTTGGATGATTGATATGTTTTTGTGAGCCTTTATACATAAACAGTAAATAATTCAACCACAGATTCTTGTCTCGTTAGTCTAGATTTCTCTTGCTCAGTGGCTAAGCTAAGAGGTTTTTAACGTGTGGCAGGATGTGTTAACTGTTTTGGTATTCTAGTCAAACGATACCAGACTTTGTTGTTTTCATGTGTCGTCTTGCAGCAATCTGGAATCAGTGCCAGTGACATCAAGAAACTGGAGGATGCAGGATTTCACACGGTGGAAGCTGTGGCCTACGCACCCAAGAAGGAGCTGCTCAGTATTAAAGGAATCAGTGAAGCCAAAGCTGACAAAGTCTTGGTAAGAGACATTCAATTGTTTCAACTGGTTATTTAACTCTTCTTTTTCCCTGAGTCATTTATGGAAAAATGAAGTTAATCTTATACTGATGATCATTTAATTTAGCTGCACTTTATTGTTGCTGTCTGATGGTTGTTAGATGTGTTTAGGTGCTGGTGTTACTCTGTGTGACCAGCAAGGTCGCCATCTAAAGTTAAAGGAAATAAGGATTATGCCTTCGTCTGTGTGTGGTTCATCTGTAACATTAGCAAAATATGATGAACAGTTGGATGCATTTTTGTGAAGCGTTCCAAAAGTAATTATTAATGTACATTTACAGCGTATTAATTTCTGGAGTCAAATGCGTTCAAGATGGCTGCCACAACAAGCTGAAATTAGCGAACACAAAATTTGATATCAACAAACTAATAAAGTCATTTTGCAATAATCTTGCATAATATTATTTTCAAAGTTGGACAAAAGTATTCAACTAAAAAAAAAAAGCTCATTAAGCTTAATTCAGTTTAAAACTGTCATGTTCATTCCTTCAACGCAAGCAAACAGGAAGTGGAAAAAAAMMCATCTTGAATTTGTTTTTAGATTTAGTAGAAATCAGTGTGAGGCGCAGTGTAAAATAAAATGTTAATGATCACGAAAACGTTTTCATTGTTTAGCTCACTTTCTGCGTTGATGTCTGGTGCGGGATGATGACGTTATCCTGGTTAGCTAACGCATCTAACGCTGCTGAAGAGGATATTTAACTTTGTTCATTGAAAACAGTATGTGTGGTTAGAGTTTGAAGTGCAGTTCAGATATTGGATGTCTTGTAGGGAAGCTTTAGCTGCAGCAGTAGCGATTGATTTTGTCTCAGGTTGATGATGTCACAAGAAGAGCACTAACAGCAAAGGCTGCGTTCCATTACGAAATACTTTAAATTTCAACATTTAGCCACAAATTTAAGATTTAACTTTTACATTTTCACATTTAGATTTAGTATTTACAGGTATTTTTAACATTTAAATATAACATTTAGTATAAATTATCTATATGTAAGAACAATGAGCTACATAAAATGTTTGTGTAAAATATTGTACACTCAAAGTGAGCTAAATAAAGAACAATGTGTTAAAGGCATTTCCTAACATTTTATTTTACACTTGGCGCAGCATACCTTTGCTGCTGTACATTTAAAGATGACTTTTTTAAAATGCATTTAGCTGTTATTTCATGCTTAAAAAGCTCATGTGACAATATAAATGTGTGTGGGAGAAAGCAGCACTTTAGAGACCTATATATGAAGTAGTAAAGGATGTTGTTCTTTTAACTTCATTTCCCAACATTGATGGAAGGCTTGGATTGTCTTTAACAGGGGTCTTATGTGTCCTAGCTTTCTGAAGTCCCGCATGTTTTTCAGGTTTCTCTGCTCCAAAACCCCAGACCCACTGATTTTTTATTACCTCTTCAARTTTGGCCAAGCTCAAAGCAGGTGTGTCAGAACAGAGAAACCTGGAAAATATACTGGACAGCCCTGGTCTATAATACATATGGTCAATCTAGGGTTGCGCGGTATATGCGGTAGATGGTAGAAACGRTATGAAGTTGGCCTACGGTAGAAATTTATACTCTACCGTCCTATCGTCATTACATCATCACAACTGTGTCAACAGGGCTGTGAGTGCAGAGACAACAGAGCAGGAGGAGTTTGAAATATAATGAAGAAATTATAGTGTTTTAAAACTCGTACAGAGAGAATRAATCCTCAAAATTCCCCCTGCCGCTGTAGAAAAGTTACGTCGTGTCGCGGGATCATTTCTTCCTCCCTCTCGCTGCACGTCGCGCAGAGCGAATCTTTAGTTTTTTCACTCCCAAGTTGTCGGAGAAAAAACTTTTTTACGTATTGTTACCCACAGAGTTGATTATAAAGACGTGGACATTCGTTCAGTCATAAATCCATCTTGATAATGTAGCCTAAAGTCAGCTTCTGCTCTGATGATGAAGGTGAGAGCACAGCAGAGCAGCAGCCGATAAGTTCAGCAGGCAGAACCTCTTTGTTTGGCAGGCAGATGTTAMATTTATTTGGCTTCACCACACTTACATTCCAGTTATCTGAAATTGTTTTATGACAGGACTATGTGTGGCTTAAGGCCCTTAAGGTCCTGTCACACTATAATATTTTAGGCAACATTGAATTTTTTATGTCTAAATGACTAATGTAAGAAGTGAGCTTAAGGTGAATTAAGCTTTTCCCACATCTCTCATACACAAGGTTATGAGGAAACTTTTACCAAGGTATTTCTCATTACTTGTTAATATCTTGACTGTGCGAAGTGAAAAGTGACACAATWAGTGAACGTTCAGACGACTTCAAGTTGATTCATAAAAGACTATGCAATCATTTATTTACACAAATTAACCAGATCATAAGTTACACTTGATTGTGGTTATTCCTATAACAAGCTTCAGAGTTAAATGAGATAAAACCTGTGTCCTAATTTCAATTCACATCAACTCAGATTACTTATATAGAACAGTAAAACGTCAGTTCTGATGTTAACAACCAAACAATTTTACTGGCACTTTTAGCTTAAGTTTTGGCAAATTAAGAACAAGGAAAGGAGGAAAGTAAGATTAGTATGTTACTACGACTTTTACTTTTATCAAAGTGTGGGTCAACCGGAACTGCACGTCCTTTCTAAGCTCAAGTTCCACATGACATGTCACTCCAAACACATCTGCTTTACCTGGTGATGACTTCTTAAGGCACCAACGGGGTAGGAGCTGGCTCGCCTCCGATCAGTCAGGGAACTGATG